TCTCATTTGGTAGTTGAATTTGCACAAAGATTATATAAATCCTGGTAATCTTATCTGCATTTCAGGTTAACAATGAAGCTTATGCCTGTTACACCTCAAGAATGAACAGAACTAAACAGAGAAACCTAAGCCAAAGGCCAGTCTTGGAATGAGCATCCGTGTCTGACACACGTGGTTTCCAGATGTAACACTGTCTCCTATCTTTGTTTAGTACCTCTGACAGAATTGTTTCCTACATCAATCCTTCTTCGTCATGATCATGATTTTTTTCTTCAAACTTACAGTCTATGATTCAACATGTGGATAGTCAAAAAAAAGTTTCCAGGATTAGTGGACTTTGTAGACACAGAGAAATACATTTTCAAAAATGAGGACCACCGCCAGGGCCCCCAGGTTCAGCCCATCCACTGCCGAGCCATCATCTGCAGCCACCCGCATCGGGCCCCACGTTGCGCCTGGGGGGAAACATGGGCAGACCCCCCTGGAGCCCCCCAAGCCCCATAATCCCCCAAGGACTCAAAATCCTCCAGGGGAGTGTTTACACAGGATTGGGTTTAGGCGATTTATCCAGAATTGAATTGAAATTATGTGTACAGGGACTGAAAATACAAAGAAATAAGGGACACCCACTTGTTCACGAGATTCACGCTAGACCCCTTTGCTTCCTAAACCCCTGACAGAGCCTAGGTGCTGCTGGACCTAGTCCCAGTCTTGGGACTCTGGGCTCTGGTCCTGGCCCCTCCGCCCCGCCCACGAGACCAGCCCCATGCTGGGCTGCGCTCCCCCGGACTCTCGGTGCTCTCCCAGGCTCTAGGCACAGGGATACAGCAGACTGAAGGAGCAGCTCAGTGAGCTGGTTCCAGGGGTACATCAATGTTGTCGGTGCCAGTCGAGCATTCCACGGCTGTCGGTTCTAGAAGAGCATCCTGCCCTGAGGTCAGTTCTAGGGAAGCATCCTGCTGTTGTTGCCAGGGCAGCATCCCATTGTCATCACTACCAGGGCAGCATCCCTCTGTTGTTGTTGCCCGGGCAGTATCCCTCTGTTGCTGGTACCAGGGGAGGATCCTTCTGTTGCTGGTACCAGGGCAGCATCCCTGTTGTCTGCACCAGGGCAGCATCCCCCTGTTGCTGGTACCAGGGCAGCATCCCTGTTGTCTGCACCAGGGCAGCATCCCCCTGTTGCTGGTACCAGGGCAGCGTCCCTGTTGTCTGCACCAGGGCAGCATCCTGCTGCCCTCAGGACAGGGGCCATGGAGCCATCGGAGGCCCCTGGGCGAGAGCGCTGGGCCGGGTCTGAGGCGCGCAGGAGGCAGAAGCCACCCAACACGAGTGAGATCCCTTCCCCTCCTCTCCCGGCCAGGGCTGCCCGTGGGCACTGGGAGGGGGCCCGGCTGACGCCTCTCTCCCCACCCAGCCCTGCAGCGAGCGGTGGTCTCGCTGCTGCCGGCCCCGTGCAGCCGGTTCCTCTGGAGCCAGCCGGACCAGCACCGCTGCAGCAAGTTCTTCCTGGCTGCCAGCATCGGGATCCTCCTTGGCCTTGGTGAGTGCTCCCGGTGCCAGGTGTGGCGAGAAGCTGGGGGTACCAGGGGCTCAGGGTGCATCTGCTGCTGTTGCAGGGCTCTGCCAGGTCTTTGTCATCCCCATGAACATCACAGAGACGCATAAGGTGCAGCTCTCCTATGGGCTGGCAGGTGAGGAGGGGGCCAGGAGGAACTTTTTGGGCTGATGGGCGCCATTGGGAGCACTGGGGGGGTCTCGATGGGACCATGGCTACAGCTCCATCCTCCCACAGGAGTGACTGCCTTGGGCTGGGCCACGTCCCCCCACTTCCGCTGCGCCAGCCTGCTCGTGGTCCCCAAATTCTTCGGCAAGGAGGGTCGGGTCTACGTCCTTTCCCTTGTCCTCGCTGCCATCTACAACGGTAGGTTGCCCCCTGCATCCCTGTCCCACCCTTAGGGTCCCAAGGGTCCTGACCCCCACTTGCTGGCACCAGGGCCCGTGGCCAACATCTGGCACAACCTGGAGGAGGTGATGCGCTCGCTGGGCTGCGTGGCAGAGCTGCAGGTCAACCACAGCCGCATGCTGTGGCGCATGTCCACGGCGCCCCTGCGCAAGGTGATGGAGGACATGGCGGTGAGGCTGGGTGTTGGGGTGGGAAGGAGGGAGGGGGGCTGCACGGAGCAGGGTCAAGCCTCTGTGTGTGCCCACTGTGGCAGCTGAGCGGGCAGATGCTGAACTCTGAGGTGCAGAACATTTCACGTGCCTTTGTGGGGCTCAATGAGGAGGTGGCCAGCGAGGCTGGGTACGACCTGCAGCAGCCCCAGCACGGCAAGACCCAGCTGGCACCCAGCACCCAGCAGCTCTATGAGACCAAGACCAAGATGCGCTGCAATGGTGAGGAGGGAAGGGAGCTGCACCCCCCGGCACCAGCCTCACCAGGCACCACACGTGGTGTCCGGGATGGTGGTGTTGGGGCTGCATCAGCTCAGGCTCCTGTCCATCAGATGTGGTCGAGCTGGGCATGCAGCGCTGCCGGGACTGGTTTGACACCAAGTACGATGCTTGCATGGAGCAGATATTCGTGCCCCTCGTCAACCACTTCCTCTGCCTGCCCATGAAGTTCAAGTTCCTCTGCCACATTGTGAAGGGTGGGTAGCGTGGGGGACCCCTGCCCTGGTCACCCTGAGTTGAGGCAATGCCAGCATCATCCTCACTGTGTCCCACAGTTATGAATAGCTGGTGCAGGGACAAGATCCCCGTGGAGGGCAACTTTGGGCAAACATACGACATGGTGAACAACTCGGTCAGCAACCTCAGCCAGGAGTTCAGCGCCAGCGTGGTCTTCCAGGTGGGTGCCATGTACCGTCTGTGTGGCACAAGGCTTGGACGGGACCCAGCCAGACCCACAGCCCCTGTGCTGCAGGAGGAGCACCGCGAGATGCTGTCGGTCACCACCAACGTGTCTGCAGAGCAGCTGATGGAGGAACTGACCTCACACTTCCAGGAGCACAGTGCCCGCCTGGGCCAGACTTTCTCCATCTTCCGCCTGGTTCTTTCCTTCTCCTTCATCCTCGTCTTCATCACGTGAGCCCTGGCATGGGAGGGCGTGCGGGGTTCGGGCACAGAGAGACAGGGTCTTCTTTTGGTAGCAGGTCTGGGGTGAGGGGAAAGGCATGAAGACAAAGGAGGAATCCTGGAGAGCCAGTCCCTGGACCCCCCCTTCTCTTGCCAGGGCTTTCTCCTACACCAAGCGGTATTGTCAGGACATCTCTTACGACAACCTCTACATCACCACCTACTTCCGTCAGATCGATGCACGCCGCAGGAAGGAGGTGAGGGGGTGCAGGTGGCCTTGCACCAGGGCCGGGGGCTGCAGGGGCTGTGCTGAGCTGCCCCTGCCCCTTTCCCAGGGCAAGCGGACGCTGCTGCCGCTGCTCCGTGCAGAGGCCTCGGCCTTCATCTTCCCGTGCCGGCCCATGGTGCAACCGCTGGAGATGCAGAGCATGGTGAGGGGGCCGGGCGGGTGGCACGACGGGAGGTGGGTCAGCTGGAGGAGGCTGCAGGACAGGCTGCAGCAGATGCTGCTCCCCACAGGTGCTGGAGCTGCTGGAGTGCATCCCTACCCTGCTCTTCCTCCTGCTGGCCTGCGCCATGGACCACGTGCTGGTCAGCATGCTCAGCACCATCCAGCAGCACTCCTTTGTGCAGTACTCCTTCCACAGTGAGTCCCCAAGCCCACAGCAATGCACAGAAGGGGGGGGGATGCCTGTGTGTGCCCCTTCACAGCTTCACATGCTCCCACAGGCAGCCATCACTTGTCCATCCACGTTATGGGCACGTCCCTGATGGCGCGGCTCCTGCGGAGTACCATCGGCGCCCTCAACACCTCCTCTGACACCCTGCTGGAGACGTCCAACTTGGGTGAGCCCCCCCCAGGGGATGGACACCCCATGCCCATCACAGCTCCACAGCCTGAGCAGGGGCTCAGCGCCACCTCATGTCCCCAGTGTGCCTGCCGCAGCCGCGCCGCATGAGCCAGCACCAGTACCTGAGCAGCTGCCTGCCCCTGGCCGGGCTGGCGCTGCTCTGCCTGGCCCAGGTCTACACATACCGCCTGCGCCGTGTCATCGCCGCCTTCTACTTCCCCAAGGTGAATAGCAGCCCCTCGGGGGGGGTGGGCAGGTTTTGGGGTGAGCCCATAACCTGGACCATAACCTTGGGGTGGGCTCATGGTGTTGGCAGCGGGAGAAGAGCCGCGTGCTCTATCTCTACAACAAGCTGCTGCAGCAGCGCCTGGACTTCATCCAGCGGCAGCGGAAGCGCATTATCCAGTGGGACAGCAGCCCCCCAGGACTGGTGAGTGGGGGGTCCGCCATGGGTCCCCGGGTTCTGCTCTGCCATGGGGCCTGCAGCTCAGCCCCACACATCTTCATCCCTAGGGCACAGCGATACTGCGCTGGTGCTGCCGCCGCTGGCCCTGCCTGAGCCACTGGATGCGCCGGAGCTGCACGGGGTGTGGGGTGCGTGTGGGGCCCCCAGAGCCCGCCTGCCCCGCACCTGCCTGTGCAGCCCCGTACTGCCGGCAGTGCTGGCGCGAGGCAGGACATGTCTGCCTGGCCTGCGCCCCCCCGGAGCCCAGCCCTGATGCCGACAGCAGCGACGAGGGTCTGGGGTACACGGGCTGAGGGCATGAGGCAATAAAGTGTGAGACCCCCCCCCGTGTGCAGCAAGTGCGGTCCAGGAGAGAGAGGGGGGAAAGGGGCTGGAAAGGGGACCTTAAAGCTCATCCAGTTCCAAGCCCCTCCATCCCCCTCCCTTAGCCCCCGTTTCCCCCTTTCTCACCTCACCACTCCCTTGCTCACCAGAGACAACAGGAGCAACATAAACTTGACCCTAAAGGGGAGTTCTCACCCCTAAAGGCAATGGAGGAGCATATGAGCTTGAGGGCATCACCTTCAAGCCACTCTGGTCCCTGCACAGAGGGAAGCTCGGCAGCAGTGTGGAGGGAGGGGGTTTATTTCAAAAGACAGTAAGACAATTGTTCCATTTAGTATCAAAACACTTGATAAGGTTCTTTGCTCCGGCTTGGCCCCTAAACCGGCTACAACCAGGCAGCATGCTCACACAAGAAGCTACACACTGTGAGCCTGACACGTCTCCACACTCACACCTCACAGCGACACATCAGCAATGCACAGCAAGGTGGCTTGTACCTTATTAAGACACTAAGAGCACTCCTGGCCAGGGGAGAAGGCCTCGATCCCTTCCCTTGGGGTAGGCAAAAACAGTTTCCCCAAGCGAACAAGGCTGTTGTACTTAAGCTGTTGAGTGTAAGCCAGCACTGAGTGCTAAAGCTTGGTGGGTCAGCACTCAGTGAAGGCAAATTCAGCTCCTGTGTAGCAATGGGTTAGAGGGGCCGTGGCTTCTTCAAGGGGAAAAGAAGTGGCTAACAGTGAGGGGGAAGAGAAGAGAAACAACCCCTGTGAAGGTTCAACTGGGCAGGGAACTGCCTGGTTTTAGAAGTCTCCTTCTACCCAGGTTGCTTCTCCACAAGTTACCTTAAAGCTGAGAAACTGAACTGCTCTTTTGGCAAACAGGCTCCTGGAAAGGGATTTTTCCCAATGGGCTCACATCACTATCCCAGCTGCTCCCATCAGGTGGCCCACAGTCGGAACCACGAGCCGCCCCCCACTCCCTCCCCAGCCAAGGCAGGATGACCCAGAGCTGGTTAACAGAAGGTTAATACCCAATTGTAAAGCCAAGAGCTTTGAGTGCAGCTCAGCAGCCTCACTGGTTACTTGGAATGTTCACACTGGTTACTACAAAAAAGAAAAGGTACTTACAAAACGGGTACATCTCAAAACATGCTCCCAAACATTATTGCATTGCTCGTTTCCCTTAATAATGTTGTTTGAGGCTCTGCCCAACCTGATGATGGCCTTTAACCCCGAGGCAAGGGAGAAGAGCTGCGTTCGGTCAAGTTAGCAACAGGAAGCAAACTGTGGTCCCAAGGGTTAGAGGCCAGCAGCGGCTGGGCCAGCGCGGGCATGGCGTGGCAGAGGCAGTGGTGGGGATCCATTACATCTCGTTCAGGTCTAGCAGGGTCTGGTCCAGCATTCTTTGCGTGCAGAGATGCTCCTCTTTGGTGGATTTCAGCTTATCTGGCAGGAAGCAAGAGTCAAGAGTTACCAGTGAGCCTCAGCCCCAGGAGATGCCTCGGCCATGGCAAGCACGGGACAGCCCCTTCCCAGCACTGCCACAGTGGGGCCTCGACCCAGGGGGGCTGCCTAGGGGTAGGAGAAGCTCTGGAGATACCTGGCTCATTGGTAGCCCCCTCACACAGCCGGTGCTTCTATCTGCATGGACACCATGTGCTCTTAGCGCTCTGGGCTGTGCTTTGCATGCAGGTGCCTCCAACCGGAGTTGGCTTCACCCAGGGATTCAACACCTCCAGACAGCCAGCAATGCACCCAAGAGCCAAAACACCCACAGAATCCCCCCCTGCTTGTGCCCCCCTTCCCCAGCACAGAGATGCTGAGCTGGTCACCAAGACCGTGACTACCTAGCAGCAGGGAGCACAGAACCATGCCTCTAGGAGAGCAGGGAGAGACTGCTTTCAGTGGAGGGCAGGCAGGCAGCGAGGAGGAGGAAAGGGTACTGCAACTGTGACTGATACTACAGACAATTCTCACATGTTCCTTAAGCCAGGAGGAGAGCTCAGATCAGTAAGCAGCACTCTAGGTAGGCTTAACTCCAAAGGTGAGCCCACCCTGATCACTGAGGACATCCACTCGCTGGGACACGGCACAGACAGGCTGTGGAAAGATGTCCTTTAGGTACAGGCAGATCCTCAAGGCCGCTCCCCAACCTCCTCAAGGTCAGTGCACAGAGCAAGAGGCAGCCTTCCCAGAGCACCGACAACGGCAGCCTTGAGAGGTTCCCTGCAGGCACCCAAGATACAGCTTCATGCTGTGCATTAAAGGATGGCCAGGAGCTTTCCCAACGCTGGGAACAGCCATTTCCCCTCAACCTTCTAGTTTAGGACCCAGTGTTTTACAGAGCAGGAGTCAGTCATTTATGGCCCTTTCTAACCCTTTTGTGCCCATTTCTAAACCCATTTTAAGGGTTTGGTTTTTTTTTTTGGCTATTTGTAAACAATTCGTGGCCATTTCTATTTCATATTTGCCCTTTTCTTACTAGTTCTGAGCCTTTTTTGGCTATTTCTAACCCATTTCTGCCCATTGGTAACCCATTTTAGGTCTTTTTTGGCTATTTCTAAACAATTGATGGCCACTTCTTTCTTATTTTTGCCCATTTCTTACCCTTTTGAAGTCTTTTTTGGCTATTTCTGAACAATTTATGGCCATTTCTAGCCTGTTTTAAGCTTTCCTTAGCTATTTCTAAACTGGCTTGAGCTATTTCTAACCTTTTTTTGCCCAGTTCTAACTCTTTTTAAGCCATTTTGGCCATTCCCAAACCATTTTTTGTCCAGTGCTTACCGATTTCTTGCCATTTCTAACCCACTTTTGCCCTTTCCTGACTTGGTTTGAACCACTTTTATCCATTTCTAACCCCTTTTATCTCCTTTGTGCTATTTCTATACAATTTACAGTCATTTCTGTCTTATTTTTGCTCATTTCTCACCAGTTTTAAGCCGATTTTGGCTATTTCTGAACAATTCATGGCCATTTCTTGCCTGTTTGAATCTTCTCTTAGCTATTTCTAATCTGGCTTATGGTATTTCTAACCCTTTTTTGTCCAGTTCTAACACTTCATAAGCCATTTTGGCCATTTCCAAACGATTTTTATCCTGTTCTTACCTATTTCTTGCCATTTCTGACCTGTTTTTGCCCTTTCCTGACTTGGTTTAAACCATTTTTGGTGCTTTCTTACCCATTTCAAGTCTTTTTTGGCTATTTCTAAACAATTGCTAGTCATTCCTATCTTACTTTTGTCCATTTCTGACCAGTTTTAAGATTACTTTGGCTGTTTCTAACCCATTTTTCCCATTGCTAACCCATTTTTAGTCTTTTTTGGCTATTTCTAAACAATTGATGGCCTTTTCTATCTTATTTTTGTCCATTTCTTACCAGTTTTAAGCTATTTTGGCTATTTCTGAACTATTTATGGCCTTTTCTAGCCTGTTCTAAGCTTTTCTTAGCTATTTCTAAGCTAGTTTGGCCTATTTCTAACCCTTTTTTGGCCCAGTTCTAACTCTTCTTAAGCCATTTTGCCTATTTCCAAACCGTTTTTGTCCTGTTCTTTCCAATTTCCTGCCATTTCTAACCTGGTTTTGCCCTTTCCTCACTTAGTTTGAAACATTTTTATCTATTTCTAACTCCTTTTAACTCCTTTTGCTTTTACTATACAGATCACGGTCATTTTTATCTTTTTTTTTGCCGATTTGTTACTAGTTTTTGAAACTGATGTGGCCTATTGTGTACAAGAGGGTTGTCAAAATGTACAGGGGGGTTGTCAAAATGTACAGGGGGGTTGTCAAAATGTACAGGGGGGTACTGCTTAAGTCATAGCTGGTTTAACGAGCTCAGCAGATGTCTTATCAGACAAATACCAGAACAAAACCTCCTAGTGAGGAGAATGGGGGTTGTACAAGGAGTACTGCTTAAATCATGGCTGGCTTGACAAGCCCAGCAGTTGCCTTATCAGACAGCACTAAGATAAGGCTTCCTAGCGAAGGGAATAGCTCATTAAACCAGCTAGACATGGACCAGACCCATCCAGCTCCTAAAGAGCATGAGTGAGGACCAGAGGTAAAAAGTTCAAGCCTGAGGAAGACTTGTTTACTTCATCTTGAAGACCCCTACCCACAAGAGGAAGACTACTTACTTCATCTGAAGACCCCTGCCCAAGACCACCAGGAGGCACTGCGCATGCGTGGAGAGCCTTTTCGCTCATTCTAATACGAAGCGGGGATAGAATATGAATATGTATAGGCGTATTGTGCGACCTAATACCTATGTATGACTTTACAGGATAAATGTAGAAGGAAAACGGCACTGAGGCACGCATGCCTTTTGGAGGACCAATCCCCCGTGCGTCTTCAGCTGAATAAAGCATACCTACTTTACAACTTTAACCAAGTTGTGGAGTCTATTCTGCTATCAATTTGGCGAGCCAGGCAGGAGATCTGTGTTCGGCTGCAGGATCGGCGGAGGGGCGGACCTCCTGGGCGCCCCAGGCCACTTGCCTGGAGGGGCTCCACTCCTCGTCCGCTCACTGCGGGGACAGACAACAACCTGTGCCGGCTGCGGAGAAACAGTATGCTTGGAATTTAGGTTTGTAATTGTCCTAGGATTGGTAAAGGCCTGTAAGGCGTACGCGTGGCCGGGGCTGCTGGTAAGGCGCTCAGAGACGTCTGGCGCACAGCCTTGTTCCCCTTGGTAGGTAGGGCTTGCAAGCAAGGGACTCATCGACCGATAGAGCGGCCGCTAGCGACCCTGGTGGTGGGTCGGGTGAGTCTAGGGATTCGTCTGCTGATAGAGCAGCGGTTTGTATGGGACGAATCCAAAAGGAGCTCCGGGGTAAGGGAGCCCGCCGCTGTATCGAGCTCCAGGTCTCACTGAAGGGTGCAAGTGGCATCTGGTGGTGAGTAAACTGGTGTAAGTGTGGGGGATCCCGAGTGCAAGTGGTTTGTGTTTGTGTGACTGAGACGTAGCGTAGCTACGAAGCGAGTGCGGAGTCCCGATCCGCGGTTCCGTGTCCTCCGTGAGGAGAGCGGGCGGGGACGGACAAAGTGTCTTCTGTGTTGTGTCTAAATGTTTTGTGTGTGTATATGTCTGTCGTTGCTGTTAAAGATTACAGTGCTTAAGCGGTGGGGGAGCAGTAGACAAAAGTAAACTGTTGCTACTGGGGGGGGGTGTGTTCAGAAGAGTTCCCTCTGCGCCCCAGTGGCTGTATAACAGAAGTATAGCCTCTAATGTCTATAATTCTACTCTTGAAACCTGAACTTTACACTCAGTACCAGAGGCTTGTAGCCTCACATATGGGTGCATAATAACTTTTGAATAGTGGAACCTGCCGTGGACACTAGGACAGTGTAAATTTTGATGGAACCGAAACTGTGATCTAACAACAGGGGAGTTGATCTGCAGAGGCCAAAGGTATCATTTTACTGAACCCCCTGAGAATGTCATAAAATTCGTGTGTAGGTGCTCTCATATTTTTTAAGTGCATTTGCAGAGCACTGGGAAAGAGAAGCTGCAGAGATTTGTAAAAGATTGTTTGAAATGGGAGCCGGTCAAAACAAGGGAATTCTGAAGAGAAGCCCATTGGGTTACATTTTGGCACACTGGAAAGAACTGGGAGGGTCTTCTGGGGGCTCGGTAAACAAGAAAACATTGATAAAATATTGTAACCAATGGTGGCCTTTATATGCTTTGGAAGATCAGGAGAAATGGCCTAAAAATGGAACTCTGAATTATAATACATTGTTACAATGAATGTTGGTTTTGAGGTTGCCAGGAAAATGGGATTAAGTGCTGTATACAGATATGTTTTTCACTGTGGGAGATCACCCGGAGTGGCAGGCAGAATGTGAAATTAATATAGCTCTGCCAGATCCCTAATTTTGGCTCTGGAAAAGGACAAGGAAAAACTGGAAGCTAAGCTGGAGAGATGTTGTTCGGCCTGGGATATTGGGGAATGATGTTTGAAAGTTATAAATAGGAAAATTATGTATCACAGATACCTCTGAGAGAAGCACCCTCTGTATCTGTCCTATCGGATATTGATAAGGAGGAGGAGATTGCTGTCACCTGCGACAAGCAGCACATTCGCATTCAGAAGTTAAGAAAGGGTTAAACTGGAAGTGCTGCTGCAGCGGCAGGCATCTGAAACCTCTGCAGAGCAGGGGGAGCAACTGTGAGGAAAAAAAGGAAACCAAGTGGAAAGGAGGGGAGCTCGAGCAGCTCCTGTGTTTGAGCACAGAATGAGTGCTGGGGCAGGCAAACAAGTGGGAACAGACATGTTGACAGACGGGACTGAGGGGTTGTTGAATAGATGTGGACAGAAGTGCTTTGAAACTGATGGAGGAGGAATGTCGGGCAAAGGTGGGGGAAGTGGATTCTTCTCCTATGGGACCGGATTGGTGTGTGTGTGCTGTGGGGGTTTTAAACGTTGGAAGTGAGACTGCCCTGCTGGGGAGGGAGTGCCATGGGGTGGCTCCGGTGGCTGAATTGGAACTAGGCTGACAAGGGACCTGGGGAATCCTCCCTAGCGGATCCACTGGTTACATTAAAACTATGGACTAGAGGAAATAAAGTGGAATTTTTAGTAGGCACTGGGGCAACATAATCGGTTCTGAATAAGGCGTTGATACCTGTAGGGGGAGACTATGTTATTGTAAAAGGGGCAACTGGCCAAAGTGAAAAGGCATATTTTTGTAAGCCACTGAAATATCAATTGGGAAAGCAATGGGACATTCATAAATTTTTATATATGCCCAATGCCCCAAAGGCTCTCCTGGGGAGAGATTTGTTGGAACAACTGGGGGCCATTATTACCTTCAAAGAAGGCGATATCACCTTGAAAGTAAATAATCAGCAATACATAGAAATGTTAAGCTTAGAACTGATCACACACCAGACAGAAGAGAAGGTTAGGGAAGATATATTAGATCAAGTATTCCCGGGAGTATGGGCTACAAACATACCCGGGAAATCCAGAAATGCACCCCCAATACAGATTAAGCTCAAGGAGGGAAAACAACCAGTTAGGATTAAACAATACCCTCTAAGAAAAGAAGATAGGGAGGGAATTTGTCCAATAATTGAAAACTTTTTACAGTTAGGATTATTAAAAGAATGTCAATCTGATTTTAATACCCCTATCTTACCAGTCCGTAAGCCTGATGGATCATATCGGGTGGTACAGGACTTGAGAACTGTCAACAAGATCACTGAGGATCTTTACCCGGTGGTAGCAAATCCATACACGCTACTGACTTGCTTAATTCCAGAACTAACTTGGTTTACTGTTTTAGATCTAAAGGACGCCTTCTTTTGCCTCCCTCTCCATGAAGCCAGTCAGAAAATTTTTG